ATTGCATCTGGATTCCAACCTGGGTGCCTATTTGAACAGTTGGTGGGTGTACCAACTGAGCTACTAACGGTAGGCTCGTTGGTACAGCCACAACGTTTTCACTACTGCTGTACCATTGCGCAGCTGCCAGCAAGTATGAGGATCCCCCCTAAAATCATAATAATGAAATTAGCACTGAGAGAAATGAAATGGGGTGCAATAAAATGAAATGAAAGGAGACCAAACAGAATGAACCGAAATGAAGGGAAACGAAATGAGCAATCATTATGAGGTAAATGTTGAACAAAAAAGCCTACGAAAAGTCTAGTAAAAGCACGAATTCAAATGGTGAATGTATAATTAATAAAACGACAAGCCAGTGCATGACATTTTCATCGTGATTTGTGGTTAATATGTCCTTGTACGCCTTCTTGGTTGATGATGATCTGGTTGATTCATCCCAGGGTTGGGTCTTTTGGACGAAGAGAACGTGGGCTGGCACCAGTTCTTCCTTCGTAATCTCACGACGGAGAGTTTGCAGGAGGTGGTTTACTCGGCGCTATCGACCATCTACATCTTCCGATTGGAGGCCATGTGTCTGGAGCACGACGCTGTCAGCTTGACGGCTGTGCAGTCGGCCCTCCTTGCCGCCATGTCCTTTCTCTGGACTGCCTTTGACCTGCAGGTCAGTCATCACCTGCAAGGCCAGGCTTTGGTGACGCAAACCGCCCACTGGTTGGGCGACATGCCATGGGGTCGCCTGTTGTACAGCGGCGTGGTGTGTGCGGGGCTGTGCGGCGTGCTCGAGCTCAAGGGCCTCGAGTCGGTGCACGCAGCCACGGCTACCATAATCTACACAACCATCCCTATTTGGGGTGCGTTTTTTGAGTCCCTCTTGAGAGGGGAGGTGCCTAGTCCCCTGTCATCAGCAACCATGGCAGCCATTACCTGTGGCATCAACGTTTGCGCTCAGCTGGCTGCCTCCTCCTCCTCCTCCTCCTCCTCCTCCTCCTCATCGTCACCATGGTCATCATCATCGACGGAATCCGAATCCACTCATGATGATGAAGCCGAAGTTGGTGCACACGATGCCAATTCCAAAAATGACGGAGATGATAACAGAATGACTGACATTGTACGGGAGGCAGTGGAAGCAGTCGGTAGCGCCGGCATCCATCTTGGTATGGACCTGAATGCATCCTCCTCCCCTTCCTTCTCCGCCTCCTCCCCCTTAATATCATCATCGTCAGCAGCCGCTGCAGCCGCAGCAGCAGCAGCAGCAGGAAGAGAAGAATCAGTAACCGAAGCAGCAGCGGGGGCAGCAAGTAAGTTGAAATCCAAAGATCGACTGCAGTCAGCGGAAACATCTTCTCATTCTGATGACGATAGAGATTCCGGAGCACTCGAGTCGAGGATAGAGGATTTGGCATCTGATAGCATCGATGGACTTGGAGATGATGGCTGTGGAGGAGCAGGTGTCTTACCGGAGGACAGGGGGCGGGAAGAAAGGTCTCCCCGTCTGCCACGAGTACCGGTAGCAGCATCAGTGAACAGCAACTCTGAGGACATGCTAGAGGATGGATGCTTGGACACATGTATCGGGAGAGTACAGCCAACAGGGAGGAGGAGGACGATGACGAGGAGTGGGCGTAATCGTTCAGGGTTCCTTAAGAGCTGGTCATGGGTCGATTCGTTCCCAAATTCTCTAGTGTCGTTTCAGCTGAAGAGCCCTTTCTATGCGTCAGAGGCACATCGACTGTTACACAAACTGTCCCATTTCAAGATAAGCATCACCACGGCTGCTAAGTCTGGATTTCTGTCAGCGAAGGTGGCAATTCCCCCCGCTCTTACTCCTTTGTTTCATGGCATAGCCAAGCTACTGCTGTGCCCTCCTCCACCCAACTTCGGTGCATCTTCTTCACCTTCGCCCTCGTCTTCGCTCTCCTCCTCTTTGAGCTCTGGTTGCCACTGCAGCTCACCTTTGCCCTTGTCTTCGCTCTCCTCTTCGAGCTCTAGCTCGAACTGCAGCTCTGCTACTGGCTGTCACAGTTCGACTTCCTCGACGGCATACCACATTGTCAAAGGTGGTGACAATTGGAGCTGTCCGCTGACCATTACTATTCCCAGCAGCAAGGGCAGTTTTAGTGGTGCGGCATCGGGAACGGCAATGAGCGCTAAGATGGGTGCCCACACAGCTGTCTTGGCGAAAGGCTGTGTGCATGTAACGGGTGCCAGTGCGTTGGCAAGCACTCTGGGCCACACTGCGGCTACGCCTGTGGCTATGGCGGCGGATGTACACTGCATGCATCATCATGTAGCAGCAGCGGTCTCCTCCAGTGCGAACGCTCCGCTTCATGCCTGGCCTGCTTTTGACCTTAGGCAAGGTGTGGAATCATGGCTGGCAGTGATCGCATCTGCAGTGGACTCTGCGGTTTCCACTGCAGTGGGCGAGGGTGCTGGCCTCACTGCAGCTTCGCCGGCTGGTCTTGGCCCGCACGGTCCAGACGTTGTGCATGTACTTTCTGCCGAGGGATTAGCTGGTCTGGGAGAACGGCTCGCTGCCATGTCGGCAGGTGGGATACAACTTGCGACAGAGTGGCTTGGAGTTTCTTTCAGATCGGACAATAGCTCCGCGGTGATTGGCAGCAGCGTTCTCATGTCTGGTCATTTTGCATGGCAGTCTGGTAACGGTGGTGCTACCGTGACTGCAGCTGCCGCTGCGGCAGCGGACTGCAGCGTAGACTGGAGCCTGCTGGTGGGATTCCTGGTCAAAGCCGTCGGTGGAGCCATCATCGTGCCTTGCCTGTCATGTCCGGAAGTGCTGACATTCTTGCTCAGCTGCAGCTTCTCCGCCGTGCACACTCCTGTCAAGCTGGTGGCCTCTGCCGCGGCGCGCATGTGGGAGAACGTGCTTCTCCGATCGGCAAGGGTTGGTGGCACCGCGAACCGATGGCTCCATCGCAGCCGTCGATTTTGACCCTCTCACCGACGCGAAGGTGGATTATCCTTCCACCGCGGGATTGATAGATTGCCGGAGTTTGCGAAGAGCCCGGGGTGAAATCGGTTCTCAAAAGAAAAACGCTCCGATGTAGAACCCGTTGGTCGTGATGTAATCGATGGCGAGCCTGCTGATTGACCAGTGACTTTGGAAGATTGTTCCCTTGAAGGAACTTTCCAACTCTAAGGCGCTTCCACCATATAATAATAGTGAAGCCATTGAACTGGGACCCATCTTCTCGAGTCCAGACACAATAAATCTAGCGCCTTAGAAAGAGTTGGTCGAACCCATGTTGCCATCACACAGGGACCCATCTTGAGTCGCACTCCACACAGTGTCACAATAAATCCACGAACTCCCCCAATCCTTCAAGTTGGTTGAACAAGTCTGTTTCTTCTTGGGACTTTCTCCTTCCCCAAAGTTAAATTTAATTTAGCTGTGTGATTGACATTTCTGAGGCTCTGATTGGTTGGTCGGATGGCTTCCGGTAGCTGTTTGTGAATTCAATTTGGAAGAAACAACAACCCATTTTAAATTTGTAATTGATGATGATAGGGAATTAACACAGTGGTACGTCTTTTCAGTCCAAATAAAGTTTAATAAACCCGTTTGCACAGGTCGCCGTAGAAGTTTCTGTAGGCGTAGGGCCAAGCGGGCGATGCTTGGTGGTGGTGGTGGTGGCGGCGAGCATGCGGTACTTGACGTGGAGTTAAAAGTCAGTGACAGTTAGAGATGGTCCACCTTGGATCAGGAAAGCTTGAACTCGGCTCCGCTGCAGCTCATCTGTTTTTTTTTTACGGAGCAGATTCAGAGTCCTCGCTCCAGGCTGTAAACCTGCAAGGATGTTAGTGAAGGCAATGGCGAGGAGATACGTGCTTCGCAGACTGGGTGGGGGACTCGGTGGAAGGTGGGAGGGGAGGGGGAGGGGGGGGNGGGGATAACTAGCTGGCTCCTCTGTAAAGTCCAACCACAGTAAGTGACCAGAGGAGTGCAAGCACAACGGCTACCTCGTGAATGGAGGAGTGCAAGCACGATCACCTGTGTGCTACTGTTGGAATCCTGTGAGAACTTAGAAGGCAATTCGGGGTCTTTAGTTATATCTGAGGTGTGAATAACTTTGGAAAATTAATAAATTATTATGGTAGGAAAAATTAACACAAACGATTCATGATTGGGGCATTCATCTGTACAGAAAACGCAAATAATGATTTTTTCTTCTCACAGGATCAACCATGCTCATCATTGCCATGATCCCCTTCACCACAATCATCGTCATCATCGTCATCATCATCATCATCATCATCATCCGCATCCTCATCCTCATCATCATCATAGTCATCATCATCCTCGTCATCATCATCATCATCATCATCATCATCATCATCATCATCGGAAGGTGATACAGATCGATGGAGTGCAAGGGCAGTTTTTTTTCTTTTTCTTGTCTCTCTCTCTTCTTTTTTAAAAAGGCGACAGCCTTGAGATATTATCATTGGTTGTTGAATCGACCGGTCCTAGGTACTTCAGAATCGCAGTATGTTGCTCATCGGCGGCTTCAGTGGAGTTTGAACTCAGGTCTGTATATTTCAACAGTTTAGGGGTGTGTACCAACTGAGGTAATAAGCCTGTTGGTGCAAGGGCAGTTTTTGATTGCTATAAATGAAAGTGTAATCGAGAGATTCGGTTAATATCATAACAGAGGTGCGAATAGCTTCGGTTTATGGCAGGAGTGATTATTTCATTTGTCCACCCAGTGCAACTCTTGGAAAGAGTAGGCACCGCCGCCCCCGCCTCCCTCCGCCGCCGCCTTTCCCTTAGAAACCCTTGTCAAACCCCCAAACAGGGCAGATAATGTGGTTGTAGTTCGCCCCCAAACAGGGCAGGCCATGTAGTTCATCCCGGAAACAGACTTTCTTTCAATTTAACCCCGGTCTCAGGCCTGGTGGATTACAAATCTGGCTCAAATACAGGGCCAGCTTCAGGGAGGGTAAAAAAACAGGCCCAAAGGGCCAAAGAAAACCACTAGGTGGCCGGACTAGATAGAAAAAAGCTGTCTGATCCTTGCATCAGGCAGCCAGAGATCGTTTCCACAGGCTGAAAGTGCTTTGCTATTAATAAACAGGCTGACTTCATCCCGGTGGTTGAAAAATGGTTTTAAAATCCCAAGGCTTTGGGGGAGGGCGGAATCTACTACTTAATACTTAGTACTTTTCTCATTATTCTTCGTCAGAGATGAGACGAGGAACAACCGTGCTCAGCATTTCCATCATCACAGTTGTCGTCCGTCATCATCAGCATTGCCATCCTCATCTTTTTAAGGCGAGGTGTATTGAAAAGCTAGTGATTAGGCTGAGTTTGTACTGTCGCAGCGTTCTTTTCTCTGGCAAGAGCTGCGGAAGGAGTTGTATATCTTATGTCCTCCGCGGCCTTGCTTGCCTTTTAGACATCACCTTCTGTGTGATGATGTTATCTTCTTGGCTAAATCTTTCCTAAGCTTCCTTTGAGAGACGCGATTGCTCGGTGCAGCGAGAACATTGCTTGGCTTCTTCACCTCCAAGATTTTACCGTCTTCCGGGATTGGATCATATGTATTCCGACGTGCCGGCTTTCAGATTCGACGTAACCTCACCTTATGTGATGGCTGCTCAGGTTTGTGCCAGTCTGTCAGTAAACGGCTAATTTAGTTCTTTGAAGCTTGAACTATTTTCGTCCGATGTCTTGTCGATGGACGCACTTGGACAAAGCTTCGGCGTTGAGGTTCCTTCAGCGTGTGAAAATAGGTATGAAGCCGCGCGTGGTCAGCTGCATTTGCTCATGTGCTGCTATATGTCTGCGTCGGCCCAGGCTCGTATGTCTGAGTCGTGTCAGGCAGGTGCTGGGTTTTCAAGCCCCACTCACTCTGTGATGGTAGCCCTGATATCTCACACCCCCTGGGTTGATGCAGGACAAAAAAAAAAAAAAAAAAAAAAAAAAGGGTTTAGCCAGCGCTCTAGAGAGGTTTTGCTTGCCAAGTGACATTGTGCCCATCGTGGTGGTGGATTCGTCGAAAGACACATTGTCAAGCCATTGGCTGCATGGAGGTGGTGAATAGGATTCCCATGGAAGGAAAAAAAAAAAAAAGGGAGAAACAGTTTGCACTTTGTATTCATTCTATTCATTGTATTCATTGTTTGTTCAATGCGTATCCATCATTCATTGTATTCATTGTTTGTTTATCCATATCTTCAGATAACTCCATGCTGTTCGTATTTTTTCTTCTTGACGTCGTCTTATCTTTCTATACTGTCTCCATTTGCTTCTTATCATTGATTTGACCAGTGTGTATATAGTACTATATACTATATACTATATACTATATTTTCTTGTCCGATTTGATTGTGAGCTTTTGAAATTGGGTTCATTCAACTTCATTGCACTTGCTTGACCGCTTGACTACCCCGTTTTTCATACCGTCATTCGGAACCATTCTCGTTTTGACGTCAACGGCTAACTACTAAGTCACTGTGAACTACTCACGTCGAGCAACCAAAGATTGGTAGCCGTTGGTAACCGTTGGACCATTCTCATTTCTCAGGCGAGCTAGATTCATATATCTCAATCTTGGCATCAAGACAGTGAGCCTTTAGGCAAACTCGTTCGTGGTGTGTCCTTTTCATTGACGCCTAGGGTAGCCACTGTCATCTACCGAGGACCGTCCCTTGCCTTGAACCCGACGGTTTCTGGGCCCCTGGGCCTCACACCCTGTTCGGATGGGCGACCTGGAGGGCCACAGCCACTTTCCAGGCCTAGGTGCATATTTTGTCCCATTAGCTTCTCTTTTATTCAGCATTTTTTTTTGTTGATCTATTCATTTATTAAATTTGTATTTTTGCTGAGTTTTTGTCTGTTCCAGATGTGTCGTTTCGGACCCGCGGATTTTGTTTAGGCCGAGGTAGGCCAGGTCCAGTTTCTTTTTTCTTTTTCTTTTTTTTTCATTCTTTTTTTTTTTTTTTTTTGTAAAGGAGGTGACGGTCTTGAGATATCGTCATTGAGCTGACCGGCCCCAGGCAATTTCAGAAATATTTGGGTTTACTCGTCAAGTTCCGTCATCTAGGTTCGAACACGGGTCTGTATTTCAACAGTTCAATAATGTACCCACTGAGCTAGGCTCTTGGGTTGCCAGGTCCAGTTTCATCCATAGGCAGGACTGGGACTAAGTGGTTGTGTCTTTTTGTACCTAGCCCAGTCCACAGGTTCCTGCAGCATCTGCAGATGGCCTGGACATCCGATAGGGACTCAGGAAGGCCGTTTCGTTGTCTCTGATCCTAGGACCAGGACTTGGGCCTGCGATCGAGACCAGGACCGCCGATTGGAATCAAGACCAGACGGCCCTGGTCACAGACCTCAGGCAATCGAGCGAGGCCCAGGGGGATATAGCTGGGCCAGTCCTCCAGCTTTGGGAGTCGGCTAGACCAGTCACTTGGGCGCTATGCGGCTGGAGCAGCGCTAGTCCAGCTGTGCGAAATTGGAGTTAGAGATAGCAGTGTAGGAGATGGTAGGAGCGCAGAGGCTGGAGAGCCTTGGGCATTGTAGGACGTGGCTACGTACTTGGGCGCCATAGCTGGTCTTCACTCCAGCAACCTGCATCAGAGGGCCACCATCTTTGCTGGTCAGTATCATGGGCATCATC